CCAGACAGGCGCGGGCCGCCCGGCCGCTGTAGCGGTAGAGGGGAGAGAGAGAGAGAGAGAGAGAGAGAGAGAGAGAGAGAGACAGGGGAGAGAGGTGTCCGTTTAAACATTTGTAACATGACTACAGACTACAAACAAATCAAAGTAGCAAGTGCGAAACAAACAACTTTAACTGCAAAGGTAAAGTAATGAACAAAAGTTAAACTAACAAAAAGTTAGGTTTAAGTCATAAACAAAACATCACAAACAGTCAAACAAACTACTACTAGTGGCTAATCAACAGTTACTGCCTAACTAGCTAACAGCCACTAACTATCTCACACACAGGTACACACACTAAGCTTGCACACACAATAAAATGTGACCCTCTCTGTGAAATCCCGGCTAAAGTCGCATAATCTAATTCTGAGATAAAGAGCGTCGAAGTTGTGATAGCCATAAAAATGATGAAAATAGGTCATTTGTGTTTATTGCTGTAAATGATAGATTATATCAATGGATTTGAGATACAGTTCTCTAATTTTCATCTATAACATGATAAATGCTGAAATTAATGATTTTATTGACACTACGTTTTATTATTTTGTGCCAAAAATATAGTTTGCTCCCTAAATACTGATTTCCATCGTCTCTGGGTTTACTTTAGGAGCAGAAACACCTGCTAAATTTCATATCATTCAGTTTAGAATGGTCTTTTCTATAAATCGAAACTGCGAACAGACCTTAATGTCAATCCACAAAAGCAAAAATCAGGTCAGAGCCGGGAAAGGCAAGAAAACTGCGACTTTAGCCGGGTTCTGATTTCTGTGTGCATCACCGATGCACAATTTCAAGGAAGGCCTATGCTATCTCACACACAGGTACACACACTAAGCTTGCACACACAATAAAATGTGACCCTCTCTGTGAAATCCCGGCTAAAGTCGCATAATCTAATTCTGAGATAAAGAGCGTCGAAGTTGTGATAGCCATAAAAATGATGAAAATAGGTCATTTGTGTTTATTGCTGTAAATGATAGATTATATCAATGGATTTGAGATACAGTTCTCTAATTTTCATCTATAACATGATAAATGCTGAAATTAATGATTTTATTGACACTACGTTTTATTATTTTGTGCCAAAAATATAGTTTGCTCCCTAAATACTGATTTCCATCGTCTCTGGGTTTACTTTAGGAGCAGAAACACCTGCTAAATTTCATATCATTCAGTTTAGAATGGTCTTTTCTATAAATCGAAACTGCGAACAGACCTTAATGTCAATCCACAAGAGCAAAAATCAGGTCAGAGCCGGGAAAGGCAAGAAAACTGCGACTTTAGCCGGGTTCTGATTTCTGTGTGCATCACCGATGCACAATTTCAAGGAAGGCCTATGTTTTTTTTGTTACTCAATATTCTGCCAAGATAACCAGCTTATTTTAAGGGCATTTTATGATTGATACGTGTCAAAATAATTCGGTCTTTGGATGCTGATCATGATGCTGATGCTTTGGGTTAATGAATTCCTATCTGACATGAAGCGTGATGCTGTGAATGAGTCTGCATCGTGCGGGAAAACAAAAACAAAATCAAAATCAAAATCAAAAGAATAGTCTAGATCAGGGATGTCAAACTCGTTTTCACCGAGGACCACTTCAACATTATGGCTGCCATCAAAGGGCCGGTTGTAACTGTAAGACTGTACAAATGCTACTACTCCTTAACATAGTTAAATAACTGTCTCTTTATTTTATTATTACTTATTTAAGTTACAAATATTGCATATGCATTTGCATAGATGTAAAAATATATGTAATTGCTCTGTTATTTTAACATAAATCCTTTTACTTTATCAGGTTAAGAAATCCAAATTACTCTATAAATCAAAGTAAATAATAAAGACAGGTATCCTCAAACACAAGTCATTAACTTTGTTAACTTTTTTTTGTTACATTTATGGCACAACAAATAATTGTGAGTGAGCTGCTAAGAACGTGTGACAGATATGGCATGAGCCCGGTCTCATGAAAATGCGTATCAATAGCACGATTTTCTGTTTCTATTTGGCATGCGATTTATACGCAGAAATTTACTTTGCCGTGCATATGATCAATGCAATCAATGCTTGTAGTAGACAAAAAAAAAAAAAGTGGTGGTACTCAACCCCACTCCCCCATCCAAAAATAAACAAATACAAACTAAATTACTAAAAAAGTACTTTTTAATTCTCATAATTATGTGATAATGTATGTCTCATAATACAATGAATGTATGTAGTGCCACAACAAAATAAAATAAAATTAATTAATAATTGTTTGCAATTCAATTCACATTTATTTGTATAGCACTTTTTTCATGATACACTGTTGTGAAGCAGCTTCACAGAAAATGAACATTTCTACATTATATTACATTTAGTAGTTTACAGTACTTTTAATAAAAAAATTGCATAAGTCAATCTGCGATACCAAACAGGAACGCCAAAAGACCACTAAACGAGCTACCTGATCCAGATTTACTAAATCACTGACTACTGCGTAAACTAAAACACCTTTAGCCAGCATCCAGTATAAAACACTCGTGCTTTTCAAGCCAAATGGCTTGCTGATTTTTTATTTTTTTTTACTGACATCTGTACGCGAGCACTATTATCTCCGCCATCTCTGATGACATCGGCCGTGTTTTAAACGTACTGTTTGAATACATTCGCTTACTGGATCCTTAAACTTTCCAGGACTTTACCGCTTGATCTGATCGCAAAAAAAACTGCTTCTTTTCATTTTTATAATGTATTGTTTTCATTAAAATTGACTGATTTAAATTAGTAATTATTATTTTATTACTCTACGCTAGGGTGACCACTTGGCTATAGATCTGATGCAGGACAGTAGATGTGATTTTACGGGACAATGCGGGACATGCGCGAAACAGATATAGGCTACATTTATTACTGTTATGCTATGTAAATACTGATTTACATTCGTTGGCATTTGCGCCAATTTATGTTTCTGCCAGTGGATGCTCACACTCCAAGTTGCGTTTATTTAACTCAGGAGAGAAGAAAATTTTTGAGCGCACAAGTGTGATGTCTGACCGATAGAGTCCGTTTTCTATGAGAGTGAATGAATGGGAATCCACCTGCGAGCAGAGAGATTTGCGCTCACGCATTTGATGCGCTCTTGCATAGGCTATATAATGTGCTCTGGACATTTGTCATTAAAATAACTCCATAGAAAGTGACGTGACATGACATGACATGTGGCCAAGTATGGTGACCCATACTTGGAATTAGTGCTCTGCATATATCCCATCCAAAGTGCACACACACAGCAGTGAACACACACACACCGTGAACACACACCCGGAGCAGTGGGCAGCTATTTTTGCTGCGGCGCCCGGGGAGCAGTTTGGGGTTTGGTGCCTTGCTCAAGGGCACCTCAGTTGTGGTATTGAAGGTGGAAGAGAGCGCTGTACATTCACTTCCCCACTCCTACAATCCCTGCCGGTACGAGACTCAAACCCGCAACCTTTGGGTTATGAGTTCGACTCTCTAACCATTAGGCCACGACTTCCCCAAACAGCCTCAGTTGTGTCTGAAAGCCACAATAGATTTTTTAAATTTGTTAAATGAAAGGAGAATATTGTGTTTTTCCGTGTGTGCTGCTCGACTATTTCCGTCGGTGGTGCTCGAGCACTTGATGAGGTCCGCTTTATTCCTTTACTGTTAAAATCACAATCATTTTTTACAGTGTATATAACGCGCTCTGGACATTTGTCAGTAAAACAACTCCATAGAAACCGCCTCAAGCGATCTATTAAAACGAGAAGAAAGTCGTGTCTGAAAGCTGCAATCGATTTTTTTAAATGTGTTAAATGAATGGAGAATATCGTGTTTTTCCGTGCGTGTCGTCGGTGGTGCTCGAGCACTTGATGAGGTCCGCTTTATTCCTTTGAGCCGTCCACGCAGTCATCATCACGGAAAAACCCTACACCCCTAATCCTAACCATTGCGTATCATATGCACACCAAAGTCAATTTCTGCGTATAAATAGAACGCCAATTAGAAACAGAAACTTGTGGTATTGATACGCACTTTCATAATTTACGATATAAAGCAGTATA